ATTCATAATGATCCTAAATGTAATTACAATATGAATGCAAACATGTCTCTAAACATATGTCTATTCAATAATGTGAATGTAATTACAATTCTATGATGAATCTAAGCATGATCCATAAACAAAATTAGGTTTCAATTTTATAAACATATTAATTAATTTTATAAATCTTAAAAAATAATAACATATTATGATAACAAGAAATAGAAAGAAAAAATATATATATTAATTAATTATGTTTCTTAATATAGAGAAGGAACAGCATTGTATATATTATGTGGTACAAATCTTAAAATCACCAAAAAAAAAACAATATTAATAAAAAAAACACTAAACCACAAGTATTTTTCACAATAAGTCTGCCTATTCAAATCAATGAAGAAAAATGAGATTGAGAGTTGCAAAAACTTTGATCAATAAGTTAAAATATTATATTTTAGTTTTAGAAAATTACAGATTAAATATTTATTATATATAATTAAAATATAAAATAAATTATGTTTATAAATAAATTTTATATTTAAATATATAAATTATATTTTAAATTTGAATAAGTACATTTTTTACATATAAAATTATTTTTAAATTTATGATAAATAATTAATAATGTAATATAATATTTTTATTTATTTTTAAAATATTAATATTTAATTTATAAATAATTATAATAAATAAAAATCAAATTAGATATGAAATTAAAAGAATCATTGAAAATCATCTATCAGAATAAGAAGTCCTAAAAATTATTATAGTTGTTCGTTTTTTTATATAAAGGGGTTGATTTTTACAAATTTATATTTATATTTGTGTCACTCTTTATCTCTTTATCATAATATACGAATAAATAAAATTGAATAGAAAAGTCTTTCATAAATAAAGTATAATGTGTTTAATATAGAAGGTATCACTTTTTTAATAAAATAAAACCAACTGAAATCTCAACGAAATCTATTTCAAGAAAATTAACAATTGTCTCAAAACATGAAAAAAAAAAAAGATAACTCCTAACTAAGTTATGATGTCACATCCTATAAAACATAAACTCAATTGCAAGGATTATGCCTCATTCCCAACATTATCAACCTCATGATTTAAATCACCTACAACAACATATAATAAGAACAAACACAAATAAAGGAAGTGAGAAACATCTTACTTTGATTCATGGCATAAGATGTAGTCGAGTTCCACGATAGGGGTTCTTTTCACTCTTCTTTCACGATACTATTGTTAGAAAAGATGACCTAACCAAAAGTGGGGTGAATTGGTAGCTTAAAAAATTGTTGCACAGCTTTCTTGATTTTGAAAAACTTTTATTAATCCTTCCAAAGAAGTACTTTGATTTATAGATGTATATAGGATATTAAGTTCAAATTCAATGCAAAATCACTCAATTTTGCATGCAATGTTTATGTCTCACAACATATAACAACAAACATAGAAACTTAATTGCAAGAATGTAAAATCAAGTATAGAGAGAGAGGAAAAAAATGCATAATCAATTTATATTTGTCTAGTCACATCCACTTATGACCTACTTCTAGTCCCCAATCAACCTTATTGAAATTTTAATATCATTTATGTCTCATAGATTGTTTGTTGCCTTGATTCTAGGAATGTTTGTTGTCTTTCTCTTTTCTATGCATTGGAAATTCATTAGAAAGTTTTAAAATTTTTGTAAAGACTTTTTTTTTTGTTTTTCCTTTTGAGTTGTATGTAAGTTTTTGAGTTTGCTTCGGTGTGCAATGGATTAAGTGTAGAGGTATTTGATAGTCATATTTTAATACATCTTTCTTTATATGCTTTTTTGTTTGACTTCTTTTAGTGTCATATATTCATGTATTAGTTTAGATTTGTGTTAGTGAGTCATTTAGGATTTAGCTGTAAATTTTACTAAATTCTGGTAATAATTTCCTATTTTGACATTGTTTCTTGTGTAGGCCATATCTGGAGCCATACAACTCAGAATTAGGCAAACTTAGTGTCCCTAGAAAGATAAGAGGGAGATCTACAACTTCTTTATTGGGAGAAAAACCCAGTTCGGACATTTTCAAGCCCAAAATCACGCCTTAAGCTTGCAGCGCTGCACTAAAATTTTCAGCTTGTCTTGAAACTATTTAGTTGTACTTAATTAGGCTTTAGGAGTGTAATTAGAGGGCTGGACCCTTAATTAGGCCCATTACTTTGTCTTTAAGTACATGTAATGACTCTTTATATTTAGTTTTTTCCCTCATTTTTCAGATTTGAGATTTCTTACTCAAAACGTTTCTCTCATTTTCTCTCAACTCTCTTCCCTTCTTTCTCACAAAATTTATCTTCTCTTCTCTCTCACAAGATTTTCTCTTTTTTCTAATTTAATTGACTGAAGTAACATGATTATGAGGCAATGCTAATCCATCAATTGGTTTAGGATTTCAAGAACTATGGTAAATTTGAGTTCCTAATTTTTACCGAACGAAATCTCACTTCCTCTTCTCTTTTCTATTTAGGATAATTTTGTTTTTCATGATATTGAATTTTTTTTAGAATCCTAATAAAAAATGAGATTATGTAATTTTGGGTTAGAAATAACCTAAATCTCCTAATTCAATCGATTATTGTTCTTGAATTTTGTTAGAACTTTGAATGTGCGATTGCAGTTATGGTTTTAATGGAATTCATAATCTAGATTTAGATTTCTGTATTGATTAATTTTGAATTGAATTAGGTTGATTGGGAATTCTTATTTATTGTGAACCATGAAAATTACACCATAGGAATTGAAACCTTAAACTGGTATTTGATAATACTGAAATTTAGTGTTGAGATTCTATCTTCTCTTTTCTATATTGTTGTTTACAATTTGTTTGAAACAAAATTCCCCCAAACCTAACTCAATTGCATGATAAAAATAAAAAATAGAATGAACTTGTGTCCTTGAGAGATGACCTAGGTTAGTTCTCTATATTACAAATTTTTTGAGAAACCTAATTTTGTTTGATAGTGACTCGACAATGCTGTTAAAATGGCACCGTTGCTGGGGATTTTTTGGGTACATGCAGATTCATATTGCACTAGAGGACCAGCATAAGACCACATTCACCTATCCATTTGGCATATTTGCTTACACTAGGATGCCATTTGATTTATGCAACGCTCCAAGCACCTTTCAAAGGCGTATGGTGAGTATATTTTTCGATCTGTTGGAGAATTGCATGGAGGTGTTGATGGATGATTTTACTATTTATGGTTCTTCATTTGATGCATGCCTAAAGAATCTATCTAGAGTGTTAGATAGGTGCATCCAAACTAACCTTGTGTTGAATTTTGAGAAATGTCCTTTTATGGTTAAACATGGTATAGTTTTGGGTCACCTAGTCTCGAGTTAGGGCATTGAGGTTGATAAGGCTAAGATTGATATCATTGCTTCTCTACCTTACCCCATTTCTATGCGGGAAGTACATTCTTTTCTTGGACATGCAGGTTTTTATAGGAGGTTCATCCATGACTTTAGCAAGATTACACTGCCATTGTCCAAGCTTATACAAAAAGATGTGGGGTTTGTATTTGATCAACCTAGTCAACTAGCCTTTCTGGAGCTGAAGAGGTGGCTTACCACCACTCCTATTATACAGTCGCCTGATTGGGAGTTTCCTTTTGAGCTCATGTGTGACGCATCCAACTTTTCTCTTGGAGTTGTTTTAGCTTAGTGTGGGTTGGGAGGCTTTCTCATATTATAGCTTATGCCTTTCACACATTGGATGCAACTCAAGTTAATTACACTACCATTGAGAAATAACTTCTAGCTATTGTATTTGCTTTAGATAAATTTTGTTCATATTTGCTGGCTATAGGATTATTGTATTTTCTGACCATACAACTTTGAGATTCCTATTGAAGAAACCCGATGCTAAACCCTAACTATCAGGTGAATGTTTCTCCTTCAGGAGTTTGATATTGAGATCAAAGACAGGAGTGGTGCAGTGAAGTTGGTAGCAAACCACTTGAGTAGGATTGAGGGGGAACGTTTATCCCCTTCCTATTAGAGATGATTTTCTTGAGGAGTAGTTGATGTAGTTACATGATATTGTTCCTTGGTTTGTTGACATTGCTAATTATTTGGTTGCAAATGTTTTCCCTCCAAATGCATCTAGATCACAGATAACCAAACTAAAAAGAAAGGCTAAATATTATGTTTGGGATGACCCTTATTTGTGGAGATTTTGTAATGACCAGGTGATCCACAAGTGTATTCAAGATCATGAGATCTAGTATGTGCTTCAGTTTTGCCATGCTTCACTAGTTGAAGGACACTATGGTTCTTACAGGACAACTAGGAAGGTGTTGGAGAGTGGGTTTTACTAGCCCACCATTTTTAGAGATGTATATCATATCTTAGCACCTGTGAGTAGTGTGAGAAAATAGGATGGCCATTACACATAAGCATGAGATGCCCCAACATCCTATCATTTTTTGTGAGGTTTTTATGTTTGGGGTATTGATGATGTTATGGGTTCATTTCTTGCATCTTTTGGTTACACATACATTTTACTAGTTGTTGATTATGTTTCAAAGTGGGTGGAGGCTAAGGCCACCGAAACTAATGATTCTAAAGTTGTTTTGGATTTTATTAGATCAGATAGTTTTCGCAGGTTTGGTGTGCCTAAAGCCATCATCAATGATAAGGGGAGCCATTTCTACAATAGAAGCATGTAGGCTTTGCTTCATAAGTATGGGGTTGTGCATAAAGTGTCTATAGCTTATCATCCCCAAACTAATGGGCAAGCCAAAGTTTTTAATTGAGAGATCAAGCAAATTTTGCAGAAGATAGTGCACCCTAACAGGAAGGATTGGAGTAAGCTTTTGGAGGATGCTTTTTGGGCGCATAGGACAGCTTACCAGACACTAATTGAGATGTCTCCTTATAGGATTGTGTTTGGTAAAGCATGTCATCTGCTTGTTGAGGTTGAGCATGAGCATATTGAGTGGTGAAGAATTGTAACTTAGCATTTGACCAAGTGGGCATGCAAAGGAAGCTTCAATTGCAACAACTTGGAGAGCTTCGCTTGGAGGCCTATGAGAACTCCAATATCTACAAGGAAAAAGTCAAATGCTTTCATAATAATCATATTTTGAGGAAGGAGTTCAAAGTGGGCGAACAAGTGCTTTTGTTCAATTCTCGCTTTAAGCTCATAGTCGGTAAACTTAGATCTAGATGGGATGGTCTCTTTGTTATTACTAATGTGTTTACCCATGGTGTAGTTGAAATTAAAAAAGAAGTTACCAACATAACCTTCAAAGTGAATGGGCATCAACTCAAGGAATTCCAACAAAGTCCAAAGTTGGAGGAGAAAGATGTGGAGGACATTTCATTAGAAGAACCAACTCTTGGACCTTGAGGGAGTTATACCCCTTTTGTATTCTTTGCAATTGTCTTTATTGTTTGCATTATTTGTTTCATTGAGGACAATGTGACATTTAAATGTGTGGAGGGGGTGTTTGCAAGAAGTTAAAAAGAAACTATTATTTTTTGTATTTTGATTTTCTATTTTTACTATTCTTCTTTGGAGTTTTTATTTTTGTTTGTTGTTTCTATTTTATGTTTCTACTTTTCCTTTATTGTTTTATTTTTTTTTGTATTTGTATATTGTATGTTTTCTGTTCACTATTTCTACTATATTTTTTCGTTTATGATTTTTTCATTATGTTTCTATTTTTGTTTTACTGATTTTGTTGTTTTAATTGTTATTTGATTTTGTTTGATAAATAAAAAGTTTGTACTTACATAAATTTCTTACTTTCTTTTTGATTTCTACATGTATGAGTAGTGAAAGTTGTTTCATCCTTTTTAGTTGATAGGTTGCAATATTTGACGAGTCATTTTTACATTTTTAGTATGTAAGTTGCTTGAAAAATTAGAGCTTGATTCTTTGATGATAAAATATTAACCTTGTGAGATTTTTGAGTCTATTTTGGTTGGAACATCTTATTCCATCCCATTTTCTTTCTTGTGTGATTTCACTCATGTTGTTAGATTACTCTACATTTTACCTTGACTCTTTTTGAAGCTTCTTGTTCACATGCATTATTGATATGATTTATGCCTTTTTTCTTAAGCTACTAGCCAAATAGCATACTGATCGAGGCCGTACCCGGTCAAATAAAATTAGTTAAATGTAATACTAGGAAGCTTTCCTAGGTCGTCTCCCAAGGACCATTTGTCTCTGTCAAAGGTTCAAACATGAAGGGGGGAGTTTTGTTCAAAATCATGGTTGAAACATAATAAAATGCAAAGTAGCACAACAAGAAAAATAGATTAGATTCTTGTTAAGATTGTAACTCTCTTATCCCTGGTTCTCAAAAGATTTCTCTATTCACAAATTAATCCTTGTTCCATCCGAGTTAACCAACTAAGCGAACATTAACTCAAGATTTCCCCACACGAATTAAGCAAACGTATACAATATTAAACCTCCCTACAAGATTAAGCAAACTGTGACCTTATATATGCAGTAACCCAGATTCATTAAGCATGAACAGGTGCTGAAAGCGTTTCAATGCAGAGGTTCAATGAAGAAGAAGAAAGCGTAACAGAAATGCATATACGAATAAGACCTTAAATGGAGATTACAATTTGCTCGAGGAGCCAACCCCAAGGGTTTTAGCCTTCCATTAAAACGAAAATGCAGATACAACAAGGTAGAAGAGAAGAAAATGAAATGTCTGTCTTCATTCAAATGTAAAATATGCAGTTCAGATACAACCATGAAGAAGTGGAAGAAAAACGTAAATGGAGAAGAAGCAAAACGTAAAAATACAGGGAATCAGCTCTCAAAACATGGTCACATCAGATGGTGGCTACATGGTCCCTACTCTAGGTCCTACAAACCCTAGAAAAGTCAAAACGGCCCTCCAATCCAAGTCTGACCTGAATTTACAATGAAATAAATGAAAAATAAAATAAAACAAAATGTTGATGAGGTGCTGATGTGGTGAAGTGGTGCTGACGTGACATTTATCTCTTGAAGTCCAAAAATAATATCAAAGCCCAAAAATGCTCCACAATTAACCTAAAAATAATTGATAAACAAAATTTAAACCAATTGAATCGGAATTAATTAAAATTCAAATTACTGGCCCAATGAAGCCCAAATAGTAAAATTGTACAATTAATAAGCGATTAAGCCCAAATCAACAATTAAAATAAGTATAGAAAGATAAATAAATAAGGGAAAATAATGACTCATCACCTACCTTACATATTTTTCCCTTGTTTCCCCCTTTGAGCCTTTAAAACCTTTCCTTGATTTTTAGCTCATTACAAGCCATAAAGTGAAAAATCATGATGTCCCATAACATTAGGGATTAAAGGAACTTTGGAATTGTTTTGAGAATTATAGACACCTAATTTCATCCAGGACCCACAAACAAAGAAATGGACTTTAGCATGAGACAAAGGAGTCCCCGAAGGCCCGAGTATGACATTAGAACAAAATGATATGACATCAACAGGCCCAAAGTCCAATAAGGGTGAAGTAGGAGCCCGGAACGAGCCGTTCCCAATCTAGAATGGGTTGTTCCAAACTCCTAAAAAAGCCTAGAAACCCTAGGTTGAAACGGGCCATTCCTAGTCCGGAACGGGGCATTTCGACACAAGTCGTTAAAGGTAAAATTCAAATCTAGAACAAGCCATTTTGATTCTAGAACGGGTCATTCTAGATTCAAATTTTTGCCTTAACAAACTGATCTAGAACAGGCCGTTCCAAAACCAAAACGGGCCATTTTGGTCAGGTATGACGTCTATAAATACCAAAGCCGAACACTGCTTAGGGGGACCGAAAAATAGCCTTGAAAAGTTTCACTAAGCTTGAGATTTTCTCTTTCTCCCTCTCTTTGTATTTCTTGAGATCAGTTAGGTATTCTGTAGTGTGAAAGGTAGCCAAAAAGTGCCTCAAGATCCCTACATTTGAATTATTTATAAAAGCTCACTCTAAAGGTATTCACATCAATTTGCTTCTCCTTCTCCTACTTCTTTTATTATAAATATTGCTATAATAAAAGTAACCATGTAGACGTCTTAGGGTCAATCGCATAATTTAAATTTAAATATGTAAATAACCATTCATAAAGGAAAACAAATATCTAAACTATTATTTTATATCGCGCTAGTTTCATTATAGGATACCGATTTAGGGCGTTGTAGGGTGCCTAATACCTTCCCTACAAGTAACTAATCCCGAACCCAATTTTGGTTGTGAAGGCTATTTTAGGGTATTTTTAAATATATTTTCTTTTTTTTCAATGCTTTGAGTAAAACATCAATGGTGACTCCATCGAACTCTTTTCAAAACTGTTAATTAGAGATTAGTCTAGTTTTCGGGCATTCCTTAATTGATGAGATTTTCAAACTGGAAGTCTAAATGATGGAACCTCTTGAAGATGATTGTTGTTTCTTCAAGTTGAACCATCCAAGTCCCTTCTTCTCTTGAGGTTCTTCACGTCCACGGAGGATTGAAGGAGATTCAAGCTTCAAAAGCTTGAAGATGCAACCTAAAGAGGTTCGATTTCTCTAGAAGGAGAGAAACTTGAGGAACCAAGCAAAAAGGAGAAATTCCTTTGTGAAGTTCCTAGACAGAAAGAGAATTCTCTACGATTTTGACTCTTGAGGAAGAGAGAAATTTCTGAAATTAATCTCATAAATGTTCAAAAGTGATTATAATGGAAGGTTTTAAGATTTTATAGAAGTAGGTAGCTTAGGGAGCAAGCTAACCTTAACCATGGTTCACTAGGAACCATAGTTGGGTTGCTTGACCGTCCAAGCTAGTTAAGAGGCTTGTGGAGCAAGCTTCTCACTTAGCTTGCTTGGGAAGCCAGCTAAGGAGAAGCTTGTAGAACAAGCTTCTCAAGGCTTCAAGACATGAGAAGTAATTCGGCCAAGGAAGAAGAACTAGGCAAGCTAGGCGGCCTTGGGTCCATTTTGCTCACTTTGATTATTTCAAAAATGTTTGGTTTGGTTTAGTTAGGTCCATCCAAAATTGATGAGACCTAGCTAAATCAAATCCATGAAAAATTAGGAGCAAAATGAGTCCAATATGTAAATTTTTTCCTAGGCCCAATTCTGGCCTAATTACTAGTTACACCCTCAAACATTGTTAATTGCCACCCCACTTCTACTATTGAAAAAATAAAAAAATAAGAGTGTACTTCAAAATTAGGTTAAATGGAGTCAAAGTCTCCAAGTAACCTACCCTAGAAATAATATACAATGATCTATAAAATGAAATAAAGTGTCTCACAAATACAAAGGCAAAAAATAAGCCTATACAAGGAAACTATGTACAAGTTTATATACAATAGAGCCATGGCTTCTCTTCATGATAGGTTGGTCCATATAAATAATACATTGGGCTTGGAAAGCCCATTGGTCTTCAAGTTGTCCAATCCTTCTTGTATTCTCCTAGCAATAGCTCTAGTGATTGGGCCTTTGGCCCATGGTCCATCATCTCCTCCCTCTTAAGAAGGATTTGTCCTCAAATCTGTAGGTTCGACCTCCTCATCATCATAACCTGCAAAGGGAATAAGATCACTAACATTAAAAGTGTTACTTACTTCATAATCACTAGGGAGATCTAACCTATAAGCATTATCATTTATCCTCTGAAGGACTTGAAAAGGACCATCTCCTCTTGGATTGAGTTTAGACTTTCTTTGAGAAGGAAACCTTTCCTTTCTCAAATGAAGCCAAACCCAATCTCTTTCCTAAAAAATGAGGTCTTTTTTGCCCTTGCTTCTTTCTAAAGCAGTTCTCTCATTTTGTTGTTGAATATGAGTTTTAACCTTCTCATGTAATTTCTTCATAAAATCAGCCTTAGATACCCCTTCTTTATGAAAATAATGAGAAGAATCAGGTAGGGGTTTTAGGTCCAAAGGAGTGTGAGGGTTAAAACCATAAACAACCTCAAAAGGTGAGATTTTGGTAGTCTTATGGACTACCCTATTATAGTCAAATTCATTGTGGGGCAAGTACTCATCCCAAGACTTGTGGTTACCCTTAAGGACTGCCCTTAACATGGTAGATAGGGATCTATTAACTACTTCTGTTTGGCCATTAGTTTGAGGATGGCAAGTAGTTGAGAAAATTAGTTTAGTTCCTAGCCTACTCCAAAGAGTTTTCCAAAAATGGCTAAGGAACTTATTGTCCTTATCTGACACAATTATCTTGGGTAGAACATGAAGTCTAACCACTTCCTTAAAGAAGAGTCTTGCTATGTTGCTTGCATCATCTATCTTGTGACAGGGTATCAAATGAGTCATTTTACTAAATCTGTCCACTATCACAAAGATAGAA